CTGAAAATTCTATCCAAACAGACTCTGTATGTGTTACTTCAGACTTAATACCCGTTTTTATGCAACAGTTCAAGCGATCTCGGACTTACAGTGCCACCCCACCCCCCTTCCCGATACTTCTATCTACTTGGAACAATTTAAAACCCCTGAATGTGACATTTGCAGGCATGTCCCGACTTTTTGAATTAAACCACGTCTCAGTAATGGCAAATACATCTATGTTACCTGCACTAGCAACTAGTCTCAACTCGTCCATCTTATTCCTAGCACTGCGACTGTTTGTGTAATAAATACTTAAAGACCCTCCTCTCTCTTTACCCTTCCTGCTCCTTTCTGTTATTCCACTAAGCCTATTACTGTCCTTGTCAATTAGTGCCACTGGCTTTCCAATATCCACCTTATTTTGCCTATTACTAGTTCTCCTAGTACTCATATTACTACCCTGCGACTTCACAGTTTTCCCGCAAAAACCCATACCACTAACTATTCCTAGTTTAAAGACCTAACAGCTCCCTCCACTGCGTTGGCCAGTGCTCCCACCCCACACCTAGATAAGTGAACCCCATCCCTGGCATACATGTCATTTCTGCCATAGAAGAGGTCCCAGTTGTCAATGAATGTTACCGCATTTTCCTTACAGTATTTGTCCAGCCAGCAATTGACACCAATTGCTCTGGACAACCATTCATTTCCAACTCCTCTCCTTGGCAAAATGCCACATATGACAGGTTTCCCACCCTTCCTCCTAATTATCTCTATTGCTGACCTATACCTGCTAATCAGGTCCTCACTCCTACGTCTGCCAACATCGTTGCCTCCAGCACTGAGACAGATAATAGGATTTCTCCCATTACCTCTCATGATGTCATCCAGACAGCTAACAATATCCTTCATCCCAGCCCCAGGAAAACACACACTCTGCCTCCTACTCCTATCTTTCAAGCAGAATGCCCTATCCATGTACCTAATCTGGCTATCCCCAACAACAACAATGTTTTTACCTTCCTTGGCGTCATCCGTCGTGATGCTCCCAGTAGTCGACTCACATTCGCCAGGTAGCATTACACCACTTGTAGAATTCGTCAAGACGGTCTCGATGGTCTTCGTTGGGGTTTCTAGGGAGACATGCCAATGCTTCTTTGGTGCTCGTTGTGGCATTCCCAGTAGAACCCTCACATTCGTCAGGTAGCACCGAGAATGGGTTTGAAGTTTCCACGGTAGTCTTCTGGTTTCTCGTTGTTTCTGCCTCTCCAACCGTTTTCTTGATCCTGAGCTTGGTTCCATGTTGCCCGGCCACTGACCAAGCTCCCCTCTTAACCTGGGGACTCTCAACAGGAGGATTACTACGAATCCTCTTGTTCTCCCCCGTTAATCGCCGTATCTCCAGCTTAGCAATTCTGAGCTCTTCTCTCAGTTGCTGGTAAAGTTGCTCAAGAGAGGGCATCCTGGTTCAGATTCACAGAGAGCACACACAGGTCTTCACAGAGCTAAGTACACGTCACCACTGAGCAAAACAACGGCAGCTTCACCATCTCTGAAGTCTTAGCAAGAATCCTCCTGAAAACAGTAAACCCTGCCATCACATAGTCTCTCCTGTTATACTACACAAAGCACATTGTAAGGTAAAAGGATGCAAGTGCAACTAATGTGACATTTTATTGTGGCAACGTTTCGCTCTCCAGGAGCTTTATCAAGCCATTACTGGTAATGACTTGATAAAGCTCCTGAAGAGCGAAACGTTGCCACAATAAAATGTCACATTAGTTGTACTTGTGTCCTTTTACTTTACATATTGTCGGTAATTCTACCAACTTTATTACATAATTTATCATCATCAGGCCCACTATAAAAATTAATAACTGGGATATTGTTAGTGTCTTCCTGAGTGAAAACCGAGAGAAAATAATTATTAAGAATAAAGCACATTTCATTCTTGTCAGTGAGATGCCCAGAGTTATTTTTAAGGGGACCTGTCTTTAACTTTTGTTCTATAAATCTGGAAAAAACTTTTTGGGTTAGTTGATGTATAAAGCTGTAGAATAACCTCGACTTCTTTTGCTTACACTTCTTGATATAAATCCCAGTAATCTGTTTGCCTTATTACGTACGCTTAGGCATTGCTGTCTTGGTTTAAGGTTGCTGCTTACCATAATCCCCAAGTCCTTTTTTCAATCTGTATGGCTAAGTTCTACGTTATTTAACTTATATGTGCTAGGGTTGTGGGTCGAGCTTCTGAACTTTGCATTTATCTACATTGAACTGCATCTGCCACTTTTCTGACCAGGATATGAATTTGTCTAAATCCTCCTGAAGTTCCGTGACATCTACGTTTGAATGAATTATCCTACCTATTTTTGTGTCATCAAGGTCATTGATATATATTATAAACAACAACAGGCCTAAGACTGATCCCTGTGGAATGCCACTTGTTGCAGATCCCCACTGCGATTTTTAACCCCATTTAAGCATACTCTCTGCTTCCTATTGGTGAACCATGACTCCATCCATGACAGCACTTTTCCCCCAATGCCATAAGCTGCCACTTTCTTTCACGTCTTTTCAACGTCCCTCATAATGTCAATATATTGATTCAAAAGATGACCCTCACCTCTTTTAATGTGCCTATAAATTCCCTTTTCATACCCTAAAAGATATTTGAGACTATTATTCATCCATTTAGGGTCATTTCCATTCAATCTAATTTCTTTATACGGAATAAATGTACTTTGGGCAGCATATTGATGGTTCTCTTCGTTACCCCAGTCCACAGATGATAGTTGTTCTCTAAGCCCATTGTGATTTCCTAAGTGAAAATCTAACTATTACCGAGTTATCTCTACTATCAAACTTCCATTCAATGCTAAAGGTAATTGATTTTTGGTCCCTTGTGCCAAGTTCCTCTGAAATTTCTAAATTATTTACAAGGTTTTCCTTGTCTGTCAGAACCAAGTCAAGCAGGTTATTTCCCCATGTAGGTTCTGTAACAAACTGCTTTAAAAACAACCCTGAACTACCTCTAAGAAGTTGTTTGACACTAAATTCCCAGTCAATGACTTCCTCAATATGACTAAAGTTAGTCCCCTAGAATTACAAAGTTATCGTACCCTGTGGTCCTAACAATTTCCTCCCACAATAATCTTCCTTGGTCTCTATCCAAGTTTGGTGAATGGTATATCACGCCTAAAATCAATTTTTGATGCCCTCTGAAAATTCTACCCGAACACTCAGTATGTGATTCAGACTTTATACCTGCTTTTATGCAACAGTTAGGTTAGGTTAAGGTTCGTCAGGAAACAGGACAAATGTTTCCTGACGCGGGTCTTAGTCAGATGATGACCCGCCTTTGGAGCTTTTGGTCATCTGACCGAGGCCTTCCGCTGGCTTACCGGTCCACCCCTTTAAAAATCATGGTCATTTATAACCATTGTTTTTTTTATGGAACAGTTTAAACGATCTGGACATAAAGTGCCACCCCACCCCCCTTTCCAATATTTCTATCTACTTGGAGCAGTTTAAAATCCTGAATGGGACATTCAGCAGGCATGTCCCTATTTTTCATATTAAACCACGTTTCAGTTATGGCAAAAATATCAATGTTACCCGCACTTACAACTAATCTCAGTTCGTACATCTTGTTTCTCGCACTACGACTATTAGTATAATATATTTTCAGAAAACCTCTCTTCCCTTTTCTCTTCCTGCTGATTTCTGTTCCACCACTGTACCTGTTACTCTGTTACCTAGTGCCATTGGCTTTCCAATATTCACCAATAACTCTACCTCATTCTGCCTATAACTGGTTTCCCTAAAAACTCACACTATCACTACACTCAGAATTCACTGGTTTTCCACACAAAAACCCATACCACTATCTATTTCTAGTTTAAAGACCTAACAACTCCCTCCACTTCGTTGGCCAGTGCTCCCACCCCAAACCTAAATAAGTGAACCCCATCCCTGGCATACATGTCATTTCTGCCATAGAAGAGGTCCCAGTTGTCTATGAATGTTACTGCATTTTCCTTAGTGTTTGTCCAGCCAGCAATTAATGCCAATTGCCCTGGATAACCATTCATTTCCGATTCCTCTCCTGGGCAAAATGCCACATATCACAGGGTTCCCACCCTTCCTAATTTTCTCTTGCTGTCCTATACCTGCTAACCAGGTCTTCACTCCTACGTCTGCCAAAATCATTGTCTCTCGATATCGTCTAGACGGCCAGCAATATCCCCCATTCTAACCCCAGGAAAATACACCCTCTGCCTCCTCTTGCCCCTAAGGCAAAAGGCACTATGCGTAAACTTAACCTGACTGTCTCCCAATTAACACAATGTTCTTACCTTCACTGGCATAGTTCCTCGTGACATTCTCGATGGTCTTCGTGGGGTTTTCAAAGGATGTTGACTCACTCTCGTCCGCCAATGCTTCCTTGGTGTTCGATGTGACGTTCCCAGTAGACAACCCACATTCGTCGGGTAGCACCGAAAATGGGTTGGAAATTTCCACAGTAGTCTTCTGGTTCTTCGTTGTTTCTGCCGCTCCAACAGTCTTCTTGATCTTCAGCTTCGTGAGTATAGGTAATATAAATTTAGCATTTCAGACCATAGTCAAAAAAACAAGAATAGAGGAAGACTGCAATGAGGTCACCGACCCACTCCATGAATATGACTCCAGAATACAACCTCTTGAATACTCTGCTGTTCAAGTAGTGTTTTAATATGACATTGCTGTAAACAAAATTGTATGTGTGTGGGAGGTTGTATTTTGGAGTCATATTCGTGGAGTGGGTCGGTGATTTTACTGCAGTGCTCCTCTATTCTTGCTTTTTTTTCTGACTTGATGATCTGAAATGTTAAATTTATATTACCTATACACTTTTTTTCTTTCATATCAGTTAGTCTGTGAATTGAAACCATTGTTTTTCCGGTATGATAAAGTTAGGGAATAAGTTATTTTCTGTGTTACAGAGATGCATATGTTTACAAGTATGTTTGTTTCAGCTGGCCTTCACCTTCATGATGGTGAACGGATACACATCTGAGGATGTTCAACAGTGCTTGAGTTGCAGGATCCCACCAGGATCATATCATTCAGAAAGAGGACAGATGCAGCAAACCATCGTCTATATGATAGAGAAATACTGTCAATATCCACCCAATAAACTCCTTGTATGGACTGTCTTACAAGAGTTGTGGCACATATGAAGTATAGGTCAGTGATGCCCTGTAAAACATCACTCACGGCCTTTCCAAACTGCTTGTCTCATCTGGACTTCATAGCTCAAGAACGCTACTCATGGTATGTTAGTCTTACTGTGTTATTCATTCAGAGATGAAATGAAAGATATTTAAACAGTTTTCGGTGTTTATGGGAAAAGTGGAAAGTGTTGTAAGCATAACAAATGAATGGAGAAGACCTGATGATTTACTTTAGATTACTTTAGAATTAGTTTACTCTGTAGTCTACGGAAAGTGTTCACCACTAGAGAGCCTCAGTGTTCTTGAAAGTTCTCACCAGTGGTAAAGAGGCAGTATAGTATAGAACAGTATGTGTATTCCCTATCAAGTGCTACTATGTACATACAAAGGTGTTTCTAAGATAAGTATAAGGTATGTTTGTAGGATTAGTGTTTCTAAGGCTAGAGTTTAAGGTACAATTTATACAAAGAGCTTATTGTTATTGTTACTATGAAGTTGCATATGCAACTTCATAGTTGCCAACCGATTTTTTTATTTGATTTGGTGTAAGTTTCACTGTTAATGATCCGCTACAGTGAGTTTAATATCTTTATTATTAATCTCATATCCATCATGTGTGCAGTAGTCAAAAGATTATAGAGGCATATAATGAGGCGTAAACATATCCATCTAAATGGAAGTTGTGAATAATATTCTTGAACGGTTTGTACATTGTGGGATCGCAATTAATTCTTAATGTATTAACATCAACTACTCCCAAAAGAGATACCAGTTGATCCCCAAAATTAAATAACTATATATTAACATAATTAATGCCTGATTCAGGATCGGGTAAGTTTTCTGCATTCACACAAGACTCGTTACAAATCTTTTCACAATTTTATTACCTGACAATCGCAACATATCAAATGGAACTCTTTCCAGTTTAGCACATCAGCATATGAAGGCGGGTAAATCATTGATATATACTGAGGCTTTTCTGAAAGATGTGCCCCACGATGTGTTACCTTTATTAGGTAAAGGTTACGATTACATTGACAGTATAAAGAAATTCGATAAAACAATATTACCGAGTATAGAGAATTTTTAGAAGATTGAGACTCTACGTAACGGTTTTTTAAACCATTTATCACAGAATTATGATCATGCTTCGAAAGTATTTGTTGGGAAAATGTACGTGTACGTGTACGTGTGTGTGTGTGTGTGTGTGTGTGTGTTCACCTAATTGTACTCACCTAATTGTGGTTGCAGGGGTCGATACTCAGCTCCTGTCCCCGCTTCTTCACTGATCGCTACTAGGTCCTCTCTCTGCTTCCTGAGCTTTGTCATACCTCGTCTTAGTTATGTATGGTTCTTGCCTCCACTACGTCACTTGCTAGACTATTCCACTTCCTGACAACTGTGACTAAGAAGTACTTCCTAACAACCCTGTGACTCGTGTCCCCTCTCTGGAACATCTTGTTTCTGTCCACCTTGTCTATTCCATGCATTATTTTGTATGTTATCATGTCTCCCCTGAACCTCCTGTCCTCAGTGTCGTCAGTCCGATTTCCCTCAACCTTTCATCGCAGGACATTCCCCTGAGCTCCAGAACTAGGCCTGTTGCAAACCTTTGTACTTTCTCTAATTTCTTGACGTACTTGACCAGGTGGGCCTGGCGTACAGTGTCTTGAACGATTCCTTACTAAGGTATTGGAACGCTATTCTCAGGTTTGCCAGGTGCCCATATGCTGCAGCAGTTATCTGAGTGACGTGTGCTTGTGAGACCTTTACCCACTCTGCCTGAGGTATCCCAGCAAGTGAACACGTCTCCTGTGCTTAACAAAATAGGGAATAGCATATGGAGGTACAAATAAAAATGGGAACTATGGCTATAGTTCATAAAAGGGCTAGAATACAACTTCCTGATGGAAATTTACGTAATATAATAATTGACTTATGAGTCTTATTACCAGGGGGAAGGTAGATGTTATCAGTAACACGGTCTATTACTCGCTCTTAATTCACCGACCAGCTGACCCGAGATTCTCAATGCGTGGTCCACTACACGCGCGACTGCCCAGAGCTCTCGCTCCCTGGACCTGTCACCAACAACCTCCTTGCTCAGCTGTTCCCTGGGCCTATATGGTGGTCAAAGTACCCCCTCCACAATGGGGTGTGCACCACGTGTTACTACCTGACGCCCAGGTCTGACACCATCAAGAACAAAAGACTGTCAGACGTGGGCGTGACTACCCGACATTTGCCAAGGCAGGTGTGACCGTATAATTAGGTCTCCCTAGAGACCTCACAAGCCCATCTGAACTGCATCACATCCCCCTTTCTCCCCCAGTTTAAAATATCCGAGAACTAGGACAATTTGTTCTAAGTTATGAGACTATTTTAATCCTAACCCTTTAATTCTATTACAATACAATAGCAAATAATATGAACTCTCACAGATCAGTAGATTTAATAAATTCTAGCACAAGAAACGAATAACAATGACTCTCTGGTGCAAAACCTCCTTATCCGTCATGTCTCCTTAAAAGTAAATATCGGGCTTCAGTGCTTCCTGTACTGTACTAGAAATAAGCTAGCTCCTGTAGTCACCCTCGCTAATTAACCATTGAGCCAAACCTCGTAAGGTTTTCCTGGCATAGAAAACAGCTCCAGCGGGTATTATTCCTTCAAGTACTTGCAACTGAACTATTACGCGACCACAATGTCGCATTTTTCTTGCACTCTTCCGCGACCATTCGTGACAAGGCAGGAATCGCAACCAGGACCCCTTATTATCCCATTTCTAGGAACTAAAAGAAAACCTCCCATCCCTCACATAAAAGAATCCTGTTCTGACGGCGAGCCGATTGGTGTTTATAGTTCTCCACCTGAAAAGAAAATACATCCTATCTCTACGGTGATCCCTCCCTCCATTCTCCTACGTTTAGATGATGGAATATCAGGGTGCCCATAAGCCAAGGATTATTAGTATTCAAATGATACCTTTTATCATCAAAGGCTGACAAGCCTCTCTTGTTAATTCTTACTGTACATATTTCACCTTTTACATTACTTATAGACTTACATGTGAATAATTCCCTATCTACATTTGTTAAAACATTCTTGTATCTTGCATGAGTTAATAATGGCATAAAATGTGAAGGGATACTCTTGACTCTGCTGACAATAGTTGATCTTCCAGCAATCTTTACAGAATACATTTTAGCTTTCAGTGCTATCAACTCACTAATATGTATATCACACATTTCAGATTTCAATAACCCCAGCTCACCTTTTCTACTATTATCATATAAGGGATGATCAGGACTGAAATTTGAAAAATCCATATATCCTAACAAAGGTTCACTTTTTAACTCGGTATACAAATCTTTACATTTCAAGCTAAAAATATACGAGTCAGTATCGGTATAAAGAAGTCTTACATCATCACCATAATGTTGTTTTAAAACTTTATACCAAAAATGATACAATTTCTTTTTAGCAATCTCAAGAATTTGAAAACCGAGATAAAGTGGTTGTTTAACTTCTAATTTCTCTTTGTTGAATGTACAAATCACTCTGTCTTGATTCAAATGTGTGATATTTTTTAAGAAAGGATCTTTACTCGCTCTAACAAATGCTTTCTCATTCTTGATATATCTATAAGATTCAGCATACTTTGTGATATTCAACAATGATTTCCCATATATGGCATTATTAGTTAATTTGAAAGCTTTTGACTTGATAGGACATTGTGTGGCTGTTCTCTGTGCGACATTAGTTGTTATGAAAGGTTCTAAAAATTTTGACTGAGTATATTCATATATGGCATGAACCTTTTCCACCTCTAACCCAAGTTCCATTAATAACTGTAACAAATCTAGACTGATCAAATAATTTTTCTGGGGTAGATGACTGGCCACTAATTTCGCATTAGATTTGGGGATCTTTCTACCTTCATTTTTCAATGTAGATTTGCAATAAGGAGATAACATCTCTTCTGATATATTCATGTGTGATAATATCAAAGGAAGTTCATCAGTACGTCTAGCTACCTCAGGGGTCACGTACTTGGTATCACATTCTATCCAATAACCTTTTTGACCCTCACACGATACATTACTTAATCCCACATCGAGGAAAGCAATATTCTCCTCATTCGATATGTTTCTTATAGCATTCTGTGGAAGAGCTTCAACCATCGCACTAGCATACAAAGAATTAAAATCTAGATATAAAATATGGATGCCCATTCCACTCTCAACATCAAAATTGGGATTAATTAAGGGATTATCTGCTTTAGTATATTGATTAATTGCACACGTAAACCCCCCTCAGATTCCTTTTAATCAACTCGTGGGAATATATCGTATCTAATTTTACATTCGTTTTCAAGAGGAATGCATCCCAATTGAATGAAGGTAAACTTATATAATTACTAACATCTAGCTTATAAATATCTTTGAGTGTTTTACACCACTCCATGAAGACATCGGCTAACAATCCAACATCTGTCTTGAGATATAACATCAGATAATCTCCTAAAGTCTTACATTTGCCCAAGTCAAACACTTTCAAAGCATCATGATCATAATCTTCCTGACTAATAGCGCTATTTCTCAAAGAACTAAAAAAATGTTCTTCACTCGGTAATTTTGCTTCATCGAGTTTCTTTAAACTATCAATATAATCATAGCACAAAACTTTTTTTCCTTTACATAATAAAAAGGGAAGACATCCCGAGGCACATCTTTCAGAATAGCCTCTGTATATTTCAATGATTTACCTGCCTTGATATGCTGATCTGCTAAAGTGGAAAGAGATCCATTCAATAAAGACAGAGAATCTTGAAACCTAACCTGACCTATGTCTACTTTCAAGAATTTGAGTCCTTGTTTCGAATGAAGTTCAATTTTATATTTATCAACCTGCAATTCCTTTAAAATTATTCCTAAATCATATGACATGTTATGACAAAAAAAGTAATAATTTCTCACTCTTATCTTTACATTGCAAATTACAACGAGCACAATAGGCACCAATATAATTATTGAATTTTAAAGTGTGGTCATGATGTTTGTTTGTCTTGGGCATTTTTGAAGATGTTACTACATAATTCACAAGTGATCTGAGAATCATATTTTCATTTATTTATTTATTATACAACCAATACACTTTATTTCATATACATTTCATATAAATCCAACAAAAAAAAATACAAATTAATTGAAAAAAGGTACAATTCATTGACTAAAATCAACAGAGTAATTCTTCTTCTCTTGAAGAAATTCTGTGCATTTTGTTCTGGATCTTCTTCGTCGTCAGCTGATATATAATAAACTTCTGGGGAGGATGATGGTGAGGAAGCCGGTGGATAATTTATGGGGGAAGACGGGGAATCCTCAACAACACATGAACTAGGTTGGGAATTTGTCGTGAAATATTCCATCTCACTCCATACACATTTATCACAATAACAACTACTGGCACATTCTCCTCTCATATTAATCTCTTCATTCACATTATTATTAGTGCTAGACGTAGCGGGAGCGATATCCACATGAGGGTGGGGAGAAGGCGCGATCTCATCGTTGGTAGGAGGGGCAGGAGCATCTCCATATGGGTGGGTAGGAGGCGGGGTGGGGGAGAGATGCACTACGTATGGTGGGGTGGATCTAGCTCCTAACAAACCCATCAACTCGCAAATTATTTGCTCCTGCCGGATCTGATTTGCGCGAATAAGTTCCAGCATCCACATTATATTTACATTTGACAAAGAAAATTTTTTCCATGATTAGAAGAATAAGGTGCACCTTTAAATACATTAATGTACAAAAGTTTTTTTACTGGTTAATACATAGTTCTAAAAATCATTTATGTGTAAAAGAATAAAAAAAAATTATTTTTTTCACTATTACAACAAAATCACTTACCATTTACCACAGGAGGATGCTGATTAACCCAACATAAACAGGGATACTGTCTAACCTCCTCGTAGACACCTCCAACGGAACACTGAATTGGATTCATCCTTGACCCGACTTGTTCTTGAATTACAGTAGATCCAAACAGTGACCCAGCACGGTCATTTATACCAGAGTTGTTACCTTTGCTCCGCCTCTAAACGCCTCAGGCTCTACCCACCGTACGATAATTCCAATATTTTACACAGATTTTCATAATTCCACGTTGAATTATTAGCAAATACACTTGAACATGAGGGTATATTGAAATGCTCATATGCATATTTCAATATAAATTGATCATTCTTTAATTTATCTCAACTAAAATCTTTAAATAAATATGGTATAATTTTCTTTACGCTATAATTTGTTAACTTATACACAAAATATATAGCATATAAGACGCACAACAATGATTTTTCATGTTGAATCCTCTGATTAATACCGTACATGAAATTTCTCTTGTATATAATTTTCTCATATATTTGTATAATGTTTTAAATCCATCCCGATTTAATGTGTTTGTTCACATATATAGTAATCCAATGAGCCATATTTTCATCTTGATCGTTCAATATATTAATGATGAAAATTACCGGCTTATCTTTTATCCTCATAATAACTTCATTTATATTATTTGCGGCAAAACATCCCAAATACGAGGCTGTATCTTCCCGTATGATGTTTCAAGGCAATATTTATCTCTTCACAATTCATGCTCTATACTCGTGTATGTAATATCACTGTTCTATTTTCATTTATATTTAAAATCACATTAGTTTCACCAAACATCAGACAAATTCTATTCTCATCTTTCTGTTTACCAAATGTCATATCTATTCTCAAATTACCATTCTTCTGGACAGATATAGCATTCTTAACCTGTTCACTTCTCAGGTCAACACCTAATATAGTTCTGCCTTGGAGAAAACTCTTATATGTAATCAGATGATCAGTCTCCAAACCCAGAGATTTCAAGGTAGCGTAATATAACCTACTCGCGTGTGTAGGAAACTTAGTCAATATTAAGAATCGTTTCTGAATTAATTGTAACCCCGAAATGATTCAAATCTTCATGTTGAAAATATAATGGATTAAAATTATATCCTCCATCATATGTCTTCATATCAACTATTATAATAAATATCTTATCGGGTATGACTTGTCCCCAAGGATTATCTGCGATCAATTGTTTGATTAGATGCCAGAATATGATTTAAATAATGTCTTCTTGAATAGATATTCACACCCCTGCGGGTTTACCCCCATGCTTGAATTCAATGCAGTTAATGCATTCGTATACGGAATAACTTTATCGAGCCATAATATAATAGAATTAATATTATATTTATATGTTTTTCCGGTTAATGGAGTCATAATTGCCCATGTGGGTGAATGTAATTAAAGTCTCAATCGACATTCGACACTATCCAGGATATATTCGTCAAAACTACTCACATCCAGCATCAAAGGGAAACAAGTATTCACTTCATTCGATAATTTACCTTCGTCTTTCTTAATAGCATTGAAATCAGCCGCTGTAATAGCACTATTTGTTGTCTCATTATTACGAAAGAATGCTATTCTTCCCAATGTATCTAATTTTGATGTTGATAAATGCTTAAGCAGTTTAATATAACCCGCATATGAATAAAATGGATTCGATTCTATAAGTTGTTCATTGAGATACAAACATAGATTTGAATATTGTCTGACTTATAGAATTCACAAATATCGCCTTATCTCCATCTCCCAATGCACTCCCATCCTCGTTTGTTATATTTATGTTCATTTCCAACGCGACTCTTTAAATCTAAAAAATGACCTTCTGAACTTTGTATTCTAAATTCGAGAAATTTATCAGATCCCTGATTTACTGGTAATGCTTCACAGGTGCGTCTAGCTGCTATCGAGGATTCAATAATGGCGTGTCCTGGTAATTTTGGGAATCCATCAGTTATGGAATGAGAATAACTGGGAACAGGGGCGTTGAGCCCCCCTGGTGTAACGTATAGAGCACCACCCGACATACTAGCAATATGGAAGTTAACAATAAACTAAAATTAATTAAATATTCCACTTTCTTTTGTTATTAAATTTCAATCGATTCAAACCAATCTTTCTACTTCCTCCGGATAATAACTTTTGTCCGACACCCATCAATGTTTCTACATTGATGGGTGAATGGCTGAATTTTTCAATGCAATACCATCATTAACATCGTTCAACACATTTCGTCCGTATTGTAATACTCCCGGAGCAAAGGTATTCAATAAGAATGGTATTGCTTTTCTGGCCATCCCACCGAGAAATGACAATAATCCTCCGCCCCTCCCTCTAGCTTTATATAATATGATATCTAAACCTCCCCCTTTCACCCTCGAAGTATCAAAGAGTTTCAGGAATGATTCCACTGAAGGAGGGGAGAAACTCGTTCTCATCTTGACGGTTCGTTCAATATTAACTCAACTTGATCATTCACTCTCGTTTTATAGGTCTTAAATGTAGTACACATACAGTAGAACACTTGTCATTATATTGAATTAACCTTCCTTTCTGATCAGCGAGCTTAATACTCACTCTGTGGTATTAAGTGGTTTGTACATTGTGGGATCATAATTAGATCTTAATGTATTAATATCAACTACTCCCAAAAGAGATACCAACTGATCGCCAAAATTAATGGAATCAATCAAATCACTATATATTAACATATAATTAATACCTGATTCAGGATCGGGTGGGTTTACCGCCTTTACACCAGACTCGTTAAAAATAATTTTTTTTTATTGGTAAAGACATACAAAATTTCATTACCTGAGAACCCTAACATATCGCTTCCTTCTTTATCAAATTCCAACCCCACATAACCGCTAGTAATATCAGAAAGTAGTATCATTTTTTTTTTCACGTTAATAACCACTCTGTTTATTCCTGGATGATATGTGAACACAATTGAGTTTTTTGGGATGATAATACACGTTATCTTTTTAACTGCTATTAGCAGATTTTCATTAATATCCTCATTTATTGCCTCTATAATCCTTGTCATATCACCTCCAATAATTTTGCTCATATCAATTTTATGGATATTTAATGTAGATTTCTCATATTTAATACATATCTTCAAATTCTTTTGTGGTATATAATGTGTCTTAGTGTAAATTTATTTTTTCAGAGCAACCTCATAATCAATTTTATTATCTAATATAATGGGATCATATAATTTATTAATGAAAGCTTAAGGTGTGCAAGAATGGTATATAATACCGACAAGATGAAATTAAGACACATGTTACATCTGGGTATCTTTATTGTAGACGTTTCGCCATCCAGTGGCTTTATCAATACAGATTCTAGGACATAACTTGAAGACAGTAGGACTAATACAAATTCTAGGACATAGCTTGCATATAACTAGTCCTACTGTCTTCAAGTTATGTCCTGGAATTTGTATTGATAAAGCCACTGGATGGCGAAACGTCTACAATAAAGATGCCCAGATGTTGCACATGTGTCTTAATTTCAAAGCTGAAGGTGTATTGGCGGGAAATAAATCAAGACTGGAATCACTACAGACGTATAGAAGACGTTCAGCCATCTCCAACACTCTTATAACACACTGAGTAAAAACGCATCATCACAGAGTTTATATACTCACCTAATATGCTGTCCACGATGATTCCTCTCTCCATACACCGCCTCCTTTATGTAATAATTGTCTTCTCACTTTTGTATTCCTCACAAAATCAAAATGTACCTACCTGGAGTCTACCTGGAGGGCATTCCGGGGATCAACGTCCCCGCGGCCCGGTCCACGATCAGGCCTCCCGGTGGATCAGGGCCTGATCAACGAGGCTGTTACTGCTGGCCGCACGTAATCCAACGTACGAACCACAGCCCGGCTGATCCGGCACCATCTTTAGGTATCTGTCCAGCTCCCTCTTGAAGACAACCAGGGGTCTTCCCGTAATGCCCCTTATTGCTGGTGGGAGGCTGTTGAACAGTCTTGGGCCCCAGGAGGCCTGGTCACAGACCGGGTCGCGTTGACCCCCGGAACTCTCTCCAGGTAAACCAGTGATGCCCCTACTTTTCACTGGGGATATGTTGTATCGCCTGCCAAGTCTTTTGCTTTCGTATGGAGTGATTGTTGTGTTATATTTAATAAATGCTTTATTTCTGTTAAGTAATCAGAATCGATTCTTCTCGCTGATTTCACATTGTTTTCTGATAAGACGTTTAATATTTCAATAATATTACGTCCAGTAATGGGGGTAAGAAGGTCACCATTCTCATCCCAACTCACCAAAGGATTTCTTTGCAATAATACCAACGTTGATTTCACATATTCTACATTTCTCGTACTCTTATGTGCATGAATCTTGACAAATCTGGGGTTTTCTGAGGTTTCACCGAGGTGAGTGCAGGTGGGTTGACTTCCCTGACAGGACTGAGCTTAATCTTGCGTTTAACAGCACACTTCAAGCATCCACCTCCTCCTAAATTCTCATCACCTCCCGATTTTACTATCTCGAGAGGTTTCCGATTCATAACTGAAGTTGGTACAAGATAAAATTCTCTCATGATTTATTAAACAATCTTGAAATATCTACTGCTAGAGGTAATATAATACTAAGAAGATTTCCACCTCTGATACTCAGCAAATATTTCTTTTTACGCTGAAAACCAATTTTCTTACAAGCTAATGCTCTAATCTCGTTCTTGTACTTTTTAAATATTTTAGGGTCTAATGGTATTTCATTTTTGATCAAATTCTTGAAAATCTCACTGATACAACCTATGTGTGTTTTCTTAAACTGTTGTAATAAACTCTTCTGTTGATTGCCTTTAAATTTTTCTAATAATTATTTTGGAGTGAGATGGAATATTTCACGACCAATTCCCAACCTACTTCATGAGTTGATGGGTTTGTTAGGAGCGAGATCCACCCCACCATACGTAGTGCATCTCTCCCCCACCCCGCCTCCTACCCACCCATATGGAGATGCTCCTGCCCCTCCTACCAACGATGAGATCGCGCCTTCTCCCCACCCTCATGTGGATATCGCTCCCGCTACGTCTAGCACTAATAATAATGTGAATGAAGAGATTAATATGAGAGGAGAATGTGCCAGTAGCTGTTATTGTGATAAATGTGTATGGAGTGAGATGGAATATTTCACGACAAATTCCCAACCTAGTTCATGTGTTGTTGAGGATTCCCCGTCTTCCCCCATAAATTATCCACCGGCTTCCTCACCATCATCCTCCCCAGAAGTTTATTATATATCAGATGACGACGAAGAAGATCCAGAACAAAATGCACAGAATTTCTTCAAGAGAAGAAGAATTACTCTGTTGATTTTAGTCAATGAATTGTACCTTTTTTCAATTAATTTGTATTTTTTTTTGTTGGATTTATATGAAATGTATATGAAATAAAGTGTATTGGTTGTATAATAAATAAATAAATGAAAATATGATTCTCAGATCACTTGTGAATTATGTAGTAACATCTTCAAAAATGCCCAAGACAAACAAACATCATGACCACACTTTAAAATTCAATAATTATATTGGTGCCTATTGTGCTCGTTGTAATTTGCAATGTAAAGATAAGAGTGAGAAATTATTACTTTTTTTGTCATAACATGTCATATGATTTAGGAATAATTTTAAAGGAATTGCAGGTTGATAAATATGAAATTGAACTTCATTCGAATCAAGGACTCAAATTCTTGAAAGTAGACATAGGTCAGGTTAGGTTTCAAGATTCTCTGTCTTTATTGAATGGATCTCTTTCCACTTTAGCAGATCAGCATATCAAGGCAGGTAAATCATTGAAATATACAGAGGCTATTCTGAAAGATGTGCCTCAGGATGTCTTACCTTTATTATGTAAAGGAAAAAAAGTTTTGTGCTATGATTATATTGATAGTTTAAAGAAACTCGATGAAGCAAAATTACCGAGTAAAGAACATTTTTTTAGTTCTTTGAGAAATAGCGCTATTAGTCAGGAAGATTATGATCATGCTTTGAAAGTGTTTGACTTGGGCAAATGTAAGACTTTAGGAGATTATTTGATGTTATATCTCAAGACAGATGTTGGATTGTTAGTCGATTTCTTCATGGAGTGGTGTAAAACACTCAAAGATATTTATAAGCTAGATGTTAGTAATTATATAAGTTTACCTTCATTCAGTTGGGATGCATTCCTCTTGAAAACGAATGTAAAATTAGATACGATATATTCCCACGAGTTGATTAAAAGGAATCTCAGAGGGGGTTTACGTGTGCAATTAATCAATATAGTAAAGCAGATAATCCCTTAATTAATCCCAATTTTGATGTTGAGAGTGGAATGGGCATCCATATTTTATATCTAGATTTTAATTCTTTGTATGCTAGTGCGATGGTTGAAGCTCTTCCACAGAATGTATAAGAAACATATCGAATGAGGAGAAGATTGCTTTCCTCGATGTGGGATTAAGTAATGTATCGTGTGAGGGTCAAAAAGGTTATTGGATAGAATGTGATACCAAGTACGTGACCCCTGAGGTAGCTAGACGTACTGATGAACTTCCTTTGATATTATCACACATGAATATATCAGAAGAGATGTTATCTCCTTATTGCAAATCTATATTGAAAAATGAAGGTAGAAAGATCCCCAAATCTAATGCGAAATTAGTGGCCAGTCATCTACCACAGAAAAATTATTTGATCAGTCTAGATTTGTTACAATTATTAATGGGACTTGGGTTAGAGGTGGAAAAGGTTCATGCCATATATGAATATACTCAGTCAAAATTTTTAGAACCTTTCATAACAACTAATATTGCACAGAGAACAGCCACACAATGTCCTATCAAGTCAAAAGCTTTCAAATTAACTAATAATGCCATATATGGGAAATCATTGTTGAATATCACAAAGTATGCTGAATCTTAGATATATCAAGAATGAGAAAGCATTTGTTAGAGCGAGTAAAGATCCTTTCTTAAAAAAATACACATTTAGAATCAAGACAGAGTGATTTGTACATTCAACAAAGAGAAATTAGAAGTTAAAAAACCCACTTTATCTCGGTTTTCAAATTCTTGAGATTGCTAAAAAGAAAATTGATCATTTTTGGTATTAAAGTTTTAAAACACATTAGGTGATGATGTAAGACTTCTTTATACCGATACTGACTGTATATTTTTAGCTTGAAATGTAAGATTTGTATCACTGAGTTAAAAAGTGAACCTTTGTTAGGATATATGGATTTTTCAAATTTCAGTCCTGATCATCCCTTATATGATAATAGTAGAAAAGGTGAACTGGGATTATTGAAATCTGAAATGTGTGATATACATATTAGTGAGTTGATAGCACTGAAAGCTAAAATGTATTCTGTAAAGATTGCTGGAAGATCAACTATTGTCAGCAGAGTCAAGAGTATCCCTTCACATTTTATGCCATTATTAACTCATGCAAGATACAAGAATGTTTTAACAAATGTAGATAGGGAATTATTCACATGTAAGTCTATAAGTAATGTAAAAGGTGAAATATGTACAGTAAGAATTAACAAGAGAGGCTTGTCAGCCTTTGATGATAAGTTATCATTTGAATACTAAAGAATCCTTGGCTTATGGGCACCCTGATATTCCATCATCTAAACGTAGGAGAATGGAGTGATTCCCATGTTGTATTACCAGAAATGTATATAAAATAAAATGTATTGGTTGTATAATAAATAAATAAACGAAAATATTGTGTATTAGTGTTATCCTGCATTTTAAGTTAATGTTTGGTCGACAAGTTTCTGCCTGTGAGGTCATCACGTGACGTCACTGACTGCTGAGTAAACACAGGTGGGGTGACGTCACACTAGTTTAGACCTGTATTAAGAGAAAGTACCATGCCCCATAGGGGAGTCCATTTTGAATGCTTACCCCCATAGGGGGAACCCAAAACCTTGATCCGAGGAGATGGAGACCACAAGAAAATGAAATTCAAAAAAAATTGAAAAAAATTGGAAAAAATCGGGGAGCGGGGGCGATCCGGACGACGTTGCAGAATGTGCTGCAGAAGGCACGGGCGGGCAGGCGGCACAGGTGGGGGGCACGGAGCATGGGGGGGTGCTCATGAAAGGAAGCCGCTCTGTCGTGGAAACCATACAGCCGCTTTGATAACTACTACTACTGAGGGGTCACCGTGGATCCTATATTCATTCCTGAGCCTTGGGCTTGGGGATGATTTGTCCCTGACATTTGTACTCCTGAGGTATTATTATTTATCCCCGAAAACTCTATTCCTGAGTCTGACATATCTTTCCCTGAATTCTCCTTTTCTTGATTATGTATACACAAGGCCTGTGTCTCACTAACATTAATCTCTGAATCCTGCTCTGGAACCATATTGCTAGACCCTTCACTTGATCCTGGTGTGAGACCACTACCATTGAAGATAGCCTCTGCCATCCTGTTCACTAGGAACTTCACCTGTATCCTACTTGATCGTCTGATTGCACTATTTGATGTCTTGCTATGCGATTTATATTTTGTCATTACCCACTGAGTAAAGCATCACTCAAAGCATCACTCAACCTGACAAACATAAGGGTAGGGTTGTCCTGGTCTATTCTCAAGGTTACAGCCACAGTTAAACAGTAAAACAAATGATTAGGGCGACACTAAGAAATTAATATTTGGTAGTTTGGTTTTGATAGCCACAACCAGCCAGTCGTAAGCTCGTGAGTCACATTTAATGATAAACGCTAAACCACTGCCACCATGTGAGACCTTTACTCACTCTGCCTGAGGTATCCCAGCAAGGGAGTACGTCTCCTGTGTTATCCCAGTGCTTAACAGAATATGAAATAGCATATGAAGGTGCAAATAAAAATGAGAACTATGGCTATAGTTTACTTAATATCATGAAAAAGGCTAGAATACGACATATCCTGATGGAAATTTACGCAAGATAATTGACCTATGAGACTTATTACCAGAGGGAAGGGTAGATGTTATCAGTAACACAGACTAGTATTCACTCTTAATTCACCGACCAGCTGACCCGAGGTTCCCAATGCGTGGTCCACTACACACGTGGCTGTCCAGAGCTCTCGCTCACCAGACCTGTCTCCAACAACCTCCTTGCTCAGCTGTTCCCTGGCTTATATGGTCCTCTAAGCACCCTGTTCCCCATAAGGCATAGACCACATGTTACAACCTGATGCCGAGGTCTGACACCGTCAAAAACAAAAGACCTCAGACTTAAGCTGAAAGGCATGTCTGACATTCATTTGCTAAGGCAAGGTGTGACCATATAATTGGTTAAATTAGGTCTCCCTTAGAGACCTACCAAGCATAGTTGAAATACATCACATTGTGCACCTTCTCTTCCATTGTTTTGTCATCCAGCACCTGTTGGTATATTTCCTGTTGGTGTTACCCTCTGTGTTGTCTTCTCAGAGCCATTCCTGTCTCTACTGTAAATACTTCCTTAAGTCTCATGTTGAGCTCACATACTTCGTGATCATTTCCTGCGAGTTCCCCGCCTTCTTTCATCAGCCTGATCACCTGGTCTTTGACTGTTGTCTTCCTCCTAATGTGGCAGTACAGCAGTTTCAGGTCAGACTTGACTTTCGATGCTATGTTATTTTCAGACTGTAGCTGGGCCTCCCTCGTTACCTGTGCATACTCGTTCCTGGCTCTTCGACTAATCTCCTTATTTTCCCGTGTTCTTCACCTTCTGTACTTTTTCTATTCTCTATTGCACTTAGTTTTTGCCTCCTTACACCGTCGGGTAAACCAGGGGCTTGTTCTGGTCTTCCCATTATTTCTGTTGCCCTTGGAAACAAACCTTTCCTCTGCCTCCTTGCATTTTGTAACATAATCCATCATTTCGTTTACCGACTTTCCTACCAGTTCTCTGTTCCACTGAATCTCTTGCAGGAAGTTCCTCAATCCTATGTAGTCCCCCCGTTTATAGTCTGGCTTTTCCCATTCAACTCCTGTTACCCCTCTCCACTTGTAACTCTAATATGTATTCAGAGCACAGAACCATGTGGTCACTAGCTCATAGGGGGCTCTCATATGTGATGTCCTCAATGTCTGAACTGCTCAGGGTGAACACAAGGTCCAGTCTTCCTGGTTCATCCTCCCTGGTTCATCCTCTCTCTGTTAGTGTCCTTAACATGTTGATGCATAAGGTTTTCCAGTACCACATCCATCATCTTGGCTCTCCATGTTTCGGGACCCCCATGTGGCTCAGGTTTTCCCAATCAATTTCCCTGTGATTGAAATCGCCCATAACCAGTAACCGTGTGTGTGTGTGTGTGTTGTGTGTGTGTGGTCCGAGCTCCTGGCCCCACCTCTTCACTGATCGCTACTAGGTCACTCTCCCTGAACCGTGAGCTTTATCATACCTCTGCTTAAAACTATGTATGGATCCTGCCTCCACTACATCACTTCCCAAACTATTCCACTTACTGACTACTCTGTGGCTGAAGAAATACTTCCTAACATCCCTGTGATTCATCTGTGTCTTCAACTTCCAACTGCGTCCCCTTGTTACTGTGTCCAATCTGTGGAACATCCTGTCTTTGTCCACCTGTCCTGAACGATTCCTTCTTAAGATGTCGGAATGCTGTTCTGAGGTTTGCTAGGCGACCATATGCTGCAGCCATTATTTGGTTGATGTGCGCTTCAGGAGATGTGCCTGGTGTTATACTCACCCCAAGATCTTTTTCCTTGAGTGAGGCCTGTAGTGTTTCTGGCCCCCTAAACTGTACTCCATCTGCGGTCTTCTTTGCCCTTCCCCAATCTTCATGACTTTGCACTTGGTGGGATTGAACTCCAGGAGCCAATTGCTGGACCAGGTCTGCAGCCTGTCCAGCTCCCTTTGTAGTTCTGCCTGGTCTTCGATCGAGTAAATTCTTCTCATCAACTTCACGTCA